GAGTCTATTAATATATATATTATTCATTAACGCATGACCCAAATTCTAGCCTTCTGGTTAAAATGACAACCCAAGATGTTCTTCTGAAGTTAAGTTTTATCATATTTTTTATTTGACATTTTTCTCAATTTATACTTTGAACATAAATACACAAGTTTTATGGCTCATGTTACAAAAGACACTACTATGTGTTAGAAAACATATATAGAATATAGTGTAGTGGTTACATTTGCTCCCCTTTTTTCCTATTTTCATAACTTCTATTAGTCTAGAAAAGCAGTATCAGAAAGCAAAATCCAGCCTCTGAGCAGCACAGTCTATAACAGCTATAAGGACTATTTGCCAGCTGTAAGAGAAACTTTGGTTCCTGCCTGTTTTCATAGTAACGTAATACCAGTAAGTTGCAGTCAAAAAGAAACATTGCACCTTGTGCTCAGTTAGTTACTAAAATCTAGTTCATGACAATGTGTTTTTTTAAAGACAGACATACAGCTTCTCTTTTGCTTTACAGCTTAGATAAATAGATAGGTATTTTCAAAACAGGAAAAGAATGAGGGACCCATTCTTTTCTTACAGAAGTCAGTGGCAAAACTCCAGTGTCTTTCAGAAGAGCAGATTTTTACCATGTTTTTACTGTTCTTTTGATAGAACTGAAGAAAATTATGTTTCAGCTGACAGAATAAATGTCTCTTTATAACTCTTAAGAATTACTGCTAGAGGATCCTGTGATAACACCATGCATTGACTGCCAGTTGAGTGTGTGGTGGACTCTACTTACTGCTCCTAGTGATCAAGATCCATCAGGGAGTAGATGTGATTCTCCAGTCCTGAACGCAGGGACATGGAACACCATGCCCAAGGAGCATGTGAAATAAAACCTGTGGTCTTTTTGCTGCAGTGTAGCCAAGGGATACTAGATTATAGATGCTTTATACACAGAAGAATCTTTTAATTTGTTTTCCAGTATACATACATTAAACTGCACAATGTAGTTGTTCCACACAGTGGGCAAAGAGCAGCTCCCAGGGCCATAGCTATGGAAGAGTGTAGAAAATGAAACTGGCCTTGATTTCTCAAGCCAGGGGGAACCTAGGTAGTAGGTCAGGGAGAAGAAGAAAACTGGGGAAAATGTTGCCAGATGCCTGGCTTAGAGGCACTCTGCTTTTTTCTTTATTTCTTTTTTTCCCTACCAAAACTTAAGCCAACACTAAGCCTATGCCAACACTGACAATACTCAACTGAATTTGCAAGACATACAGAAAAAGACATGGAAAAAGAACATAAAACAGTAATGAAGATCCTAAGCCTACACTCCTATCTGTAACAAGTATCCTTTGTGACTCATTGAAATCCATGCTATTAATGGCTCAATGGAGAATGTGGGCAAAGCCTCTGAAATCAGGATGCATACTTGATTTTGAAATTCCTATTTTGGTGCCACTTAGCAGGCAAAGACTGCCTTCATCAGCATTCCCTCTGTCCCACTCACTGGCATCAGGCATCAGGGAAGACCTGATGTTAGTCCAGTGTTCTGTCAAACTTGCTCAGTCAGCCTACATACACACTGATTTTGGGGTCTCCTTGATAGAGGTTTGCTTTTTAAAATAGACAAGACTGAAAATTTTAGACATACACAAATCATCTGCAAAATTAAGAATATAAATTTCAGCAACATTTTACAAACCCCAGCCCTACTGCTATATCCAGCAAAATACCTCAGTCTCTAGTACCGTTTGCCTTGAAATGGCACATGCTGGGAAACACTGCCATTATGGTTGATAGTGATTTAAACTAGACAGATCAAAACAAAACATAGTGGAATCAACTAGAAGTAGCAAAAACAATTTCAGGGCAAGTCACCCTCTTAGTTGGATAATAATGGTACCAAAGTAGCCAGGTTTTATTTGGTTCTAGTCAATGCATATATCTGACAAACATTCTACTTCAGATATAATTAAATGGCATATTACTGAACTAATGGATACTATTAGAGGTCTTAACAAAAATGAAACTTAATCATTCTATTTTCTCTGTATTTCAGTCTACTGACAAGGGAAGAGAATGCTTCCAGTGACTATTCAACAAGTTATCTGCATTAAACAGATTATGACAGATGGTATCTCCTCACCATTTCTGGCAATGTCTTTATGAACTGAAGCCTTTGTCTTGTATTTCACATGTGCAGAGATTAGTGCAACAGGCAATTTCAGTTCAAACCCCAAATTAAAAGTTTCCTTTGGAAAGACATCAAGTCACAAATAAAATATTGATTAGGTCCCTCCTTAGAATTAATCTTTTTAACAGTACCAAAGCGACAGCTTGCCCATCTGAGGGACTGAAGCTGTGCACCCCACTTTCCCAGTATCCATTTACAGGACTGTGCTTTGCTGAAACTGGGTGAAAAGAAGTGCTCATCACTCAGGTATGACCATTATCTCTGGTGTTGCACCGTGACATTACTTGATTGATGCTTGCCTGGGGACAGAGCACAACTCAGCTAATGTAGGACTTACAGTGATTACCTGCACTTCCTATAGATATTCCTATATTAGTATATTTCTTCCCAATTAATAACTTCTTTATTAATTTACTGGATGTGCATGCCTCCTTAGAAATGTTACAGTCCCTGTTTAGCTTTGATATTGAGTTCCAAAGGGAAGATGTGTTAGCAGCTCTATAATGCACAGGTGTCCTGCATCTGTATTTTCTATCTGCCTGAAGCCACTGCATCCTTGCAACTTTCTGTATAACAAAACCAAGTCACATACACATTGCACCTACTAAGAAAATTAACGTGCTTTTTGTACGGCAACATTTCTAATAATACTGAGCATTAGAAATTAGTATTTAAGAAAATCTATGTTCTATGTTGAAATAAACAAATACTGATTAATTAATTTAGACAGTTTCGTTCCAGCCAAACTCTGGTTTGTGAAATGGAGTTTTAAACTATTATAATTCTTTCCAAATTAATATTAGCTCACATTAGACTACTTATTATTTAAAAATATTTGCTAATTTGTTAAAATCTACTGATCCATGCAATATGTCACTTTGGAAAAAGTAGGAACAACTGATTTATGTAAGCAGAAACCAGCAGAGACAAGGCATGTCTTTCTTGCCTTCCTAAGTGCTATAGAATTTAATTAACATAATTAAGATATTTATAAATCTGAGTATAAATAAGGTAAGAGATTCTAAAACCATTTAAAAGTCCCTAACAATTCCTTTTTTTTTTTTCCCTAAGTATCAAAGACAGCACCAATAGCTAAACATTTTCCAATACTCAAGAGTGCAGAATGTTCTAAGTATTTGAGGACTGTCATGCACCCTTAATCCTGTGATCCAAGCCTACTGAAATTGCTCCCAGGTGTATAAAGTCTATCTGCTTGGATCCCAAGCTGGCATTAGCCACAAATGGATATCTCACTTTTTTTTAACAGCAAAAACAATCTTGGATCTTATTTAGTTCAGTTAGATATTTAATAGCGGGATTTGCCAGACCATCACTGAAGACACTACTTCATCTTGTCGCTGCTGCTTGGTTTTCTTGTTCACTCTTCTGTGTCCTTGGCCACCAGAAATTACTAAAACTGAACTTGCTTTCATTTTCCTAGATT